CTCAAGGCACCGCCGTCTCCTATGCCACACTCTTTCTCGTCGGGGCCCGAAACCCGAACGATGCCGGTGGACGTAAGATCAATGATGGATCCGTCCTGGGATGAGCGACATCCATCATGATGCGGTTGCGATGCCCGGACTGCGCACAATACGAGGTGTCGGAGAATGCGACTCTGGCTCGCCGACGTCCACCGCCGCGAGGGCTGCTGCCGCCTCCCATGCCCGTTGTCTCACACAGCGGGTACGTTGTCCATGTTTTCGTCGAACGACGTCCATGGTGCATCCCGCTGCTTGGTGCACCAACCAAGGACGAAGCTAGAAAAAAATCTATTGGGATCATGTCTATGACAGTGGGGTCATCTTTCATAACTGAATAGTCATTAGTACTAACCTAATAAAGGATTGCCTAATTTCATTGGGGTCAATTGACCCCATGCTTACCAAGCAGCTCCGTCCCTGGCACCAACGAGGGGTTGCGTGTTCGCTACCGTGTTCGGACGCCAGACGGACCACACCGCCTCTGGTGAGGCATCAACGACACACTTAGCATCAGATCCATGCGTCATTTGGGCAGACGCAATGGATTCCCGACGGAAGGAGTCCGAGCGCTGTCGTGCACGAGCCTCCTCCCGAGAGCCACGGAGCACAAGCCGGACGGCCATCTCCTCCTCAGGTCCGCGTGGGATGAGCTCGGAGTCAACGAATCTGAAGATGAAGGACTCGTCCGCTGCTCGCCATGTTGAAAATCCTCGAAGGTGAGTTTGGGTAGCAGAAAGGAGTGGAGTGAAGTGACTAGGATTTGATCCGACGAGCAGATGAGAGAAATATATGTGAGATCGGGTGAACCATCGTAGATGTGACGACGTGACGTAAGATTAGTGATCCTGTTTCGTGAACGAATGCGGAAGAAAATTTACGGGTGAACATTGCAGATGCCCTTATCCCATCCCATGACGGCAACTATAGGAATAAGAGCAGCACGGCATTAGTACTTGCACTCCACGTGTACTAGTACTACGTAGTACAGTGGTACGTACTGCCCAAAGCACTGCGTTGACTGCATAGTGGACATACGATCAGTGGGCGCTCTACTCTCGAGTTCTCTGGTCTACGGTGCCGTGCGTTTCTCACTTTGGTACGTTCACGTACGAGCACCACCATTACTGCCCACTGCGTTGGTGGTAGATTTCCTTTTACTTTTTCCGCTTTAGCACTCCGTTGACGCCTCCCTCGCGTACCCGCTTTTGCTGGCGTCTGGCCTTTACGATGCTTTCCTTCCTGAGGAGGCCGGCCGGGGGTGCGTGGGTCGGCGGTGGAGCAGAGCAGCTGCCAGTGCCACTGCAATGCATTATGCATGGCAGCTAGAGACTGGAGATCATGCACGCACGGCCGGCCTCACGGTTTGGACTTTGGAGGAAGACTGGAGACTGGCCGGCAGTTCTTTTTTTCTTTCTTCTTCTTTGGGGTGCTCGATCGGAACGGCGAAATATACTAATCCAAGTCTCCGACTCATGCGTCTCAGCATAATCATTTTGGCCAAACGTGCTGTGCATGGACAGGATTGCTAGCCATGGTTGTTGGTGTTTTTCTATTGAGAGATGATGCGCCGCGTGGGCTGCAGCCCCCTAAAAGAATATGGCATGGCTTAAAACTGGGCAATGTCCTGGCTGGATAAAAATCGCTCTCGCAATATTATGACACAATAATTTGTGTGCAAATACCAGTACCACTAAGAAGTGCACAGTTCCGGTATGAATGGCACCTGACTGTCTGGGTCTTGGAGCACACCGTTTGAGCTGAGCTGAGCTGCGGGCGGGGCAGAGAAGGAGCGGGGCCATGGTGCGCTAGCTAGCCAGGTAGGTGGAACATTTACTTGGCGCAGACTGATGCACTCACTACACGCGGGTGATGTGATCGTCCACCTCACCGTCCGTTCAAATCAACAATCCCGTGCTCCTCTGCTATGCTCGCACACAGGTTTGAATCATTCGCCACCACCACCACCACCACCACGTGTGCGGTGTGCTTCATCTGAACATCGATCGGAATCTCGGATCCTCTACATCATCCGCCAGCACAGCAGAATGGGACTTTGTGTGGGAGTACTTAGGCCAACTCCAGTCATAGTCTGTTTGAGGTAGAACTGACAAATAGATCAGCCCAACACGCGGCCCCAAACGGACAAATGTCCGGTTTTCGTCCGTTTCCGATCTAAACATGCGTCGCGTTTGGGGTAAAACGGGCATCGCACGGACGGGCGGGACGCACGCCCTTGTCCTCCCCGTGGCCCACCTGTCGGGGACACTAGCGCTCCATTCACCTCCAACGCCTTCACCCGCCCTCCTGCCCCACCCCGCCGCCGGCACCGCCACTATTTTTCGGCCGCCTCCTCACTGCTCACCCCCAGACGTCCATACCAAACCACGTCTCGCCATGACCGTCACCACGCCCGCACTTTCGTACGAGTTTTGGCCGTCGTTTGGAGGAGTTTTGGCTCTCGCCATCGTATACGGTGCCAGAGGGAATACGACCGCCGGTGACGCCTATGGACCACGGCAGCTTCCGTCGGGTGCTCCAGAGCGACCTGTAGTCGGCCGCCAAAGCCCCTGCTGCATCGAGGTGATCTTCGCGGCCTCTTTGCCACCACAACCGCAAGGTGTTTGATACTTTGCCCACAAAGGTATGGATAGTGGAGATGATTTTTTTCTTCAACCACTTCATTTATTCATCGGATGATTCGTCCTCGGATGACGAAGATCTTGTGATGGCTGTACTGGTCGTTCACGACCACATAGAAAGGCAACGGCCTCGGTACAGGGGGGTCAGTCCCTGGCCGTGCTCCCAACCTGAAGCGCAACAGAGAGAGAGGCCACGTCATGCTCTATGCCAGTTACTTTGAGAATATACCGCTCTTCAAACTGGAGAAATTATGTCGCTATTTTCGTATGGAAAGGCATGTGTTCAATCGTATCCAAGAGGGAGTGGTTGCTCATGACCCATTTTTCGAGTGCAAAACGGATGCCCTTGGCAAGCTTGGATTCTCCTCTTATCAGAAATACACTGCGGCCATCCGCATGCTTGCATATGGAATTTCAGGCGATCTGGTGGATGAGTACGTGCGCATGAGTGAGTCCACATGTCTGTTGTCAATGTACAACTTCTGTAATGCCGTGGTGGCAGTGTTTGGCCCTAAGTACTTGAGGCAGCCAAATGTCGTTGATACAGAAAGGCTATTGGCGATCAATGCCGATAGAAGCTTTCCAGGCATGCATGGCAGCATAAATTGTATGCACTGGGAGTGGACGAACTGTCCATTTGCTTGGCAGGGCCAATACAAGGAGCATGTTAAAACATGCACTATCATATTAGAAGCGGTGGCTTCGCAAGATCTTTGGATATGACATTCTTTCTTCGGCATGGCATGTTCTCATAATGATATCAACGTGCTGCAGCGTTCTCCAGTCTTCGCAAGGCTTGCAGAAAGCCACTCCCCACCTGTCAACTTTGAGATCAATGGCCACCACCACAACAATGGATACTACCTAGCTGATGGTATATAATCTCAGTGGTCAACTTTTGTGAAGACAATCTCAAACCCCCAATGTGAGAAGAGACAAAGATTTGCCCAAATGCAAGAGTGCTAGAAAGGATGTGGAACATGCTTTTGGTGTGCTTCAATCCCGATGAGGTATCGTTCGAAACCCTACACTGATATGGGATGAAGGGAAGCTTTGGGAGGTGATGACTGCTTGTGTGATCATGCACAATATGATCATCGAGGACGCGCGTGATAACAGCATCTTCGACCAAGGATTTGATTTTCAAGGTGAAAATGTTGAGCCCCTGCACCAAGAACCGGCCACGTTTGAACAGTTTATCCAATTCCATCGTGAAATGTGTGATTGGCACACTCATTTGGAGCTTCAAAATGACTTGATTGAACACATGCAGAATCACATTGGCAATCAATAGATTGTATTGTTTCATCATGTTTATTCAAGACAATTTCAATTTGGTTGTAAAATTATTTTATTCGAGACAGTTTTAATTGGGCTGTAAAACTATTTTTATTTAAGACAATTAATATTTGAACGTGTAAACTTGTTTTAAACATTGAAATATGAATATATGGACATATTGGCCGTGGCGGACAGGATGCGGCTAAAGCATGCATCCGCGTCTTGGACGCACGGCCACCGGATCTCCGGAAAGGCCCGGACACGACCTCATTGCCCTACCCAAACGAATCGAATCCAGGCAAAACAGACGTCCGTTTGGATCGTGCTTTGAAGTTGGCCTTAATATAGCGATGCGAGTGTGTAGCAGCTTGTACACAAGTACACTTTCAGTGCAGATGCAGGCAAGCCTTGACCTTGATTGCACGATACGTGCCACGGACAGCACAAGATTTCTCTCGCCTTGGCTGCTGTAGAGGACCCCCATTGGCTCGTTTTCACTGTGCTGCTGCTGCTGCAGCAGAGGACCAGGCGCACCCCAGGAAACAGTAACGTAACGTCGTCAGGTCAAACTTTGAATGCGTTCAACGAGGGCAGACAAGAATACAGTGCCACGCAGAAATGTACTTAATACAGAAACGTTTTGTAAAGAAAAACGGCAAGTAGGTTGTGTTTGCAGAAAAGATAATATTCCCGCAAAAGTAATATGGATCGGAGGGAGTATGTAGGGTGCTTGATAGATGAACAGTAGTAGCATGAATTCCTCCTTCTCAGAAGGACCTTCTGAGTTGAAACAAACACCTTGGACATATTATTATTCAGCAACCACCCAACGGAGCAGAAACACCCTATCCCGTTTCTCATGTACATAACCAGGCCCCAGTTGTTTCCATATAAATAGCAAAAATCAAACAAGTATACAGCAAAAGGAATTCATTCAGTACCACGCCCCAGGAAAGCGTCCGGTGCATGCCAGTTTCCCAGCTCGGAAATGGACGACCTCCTTGAGTGGCAGCCGGCTACTGCTTGGGTGGTGGCCGTCGGTCAGGGGAAAATATGTCCTCGACGTTTTGCTTGATGTAGGTGCCCGTTTTGTTGAGGTTCTTGGCGACCCCTGAGGCCACCAGCCCGGCGCTCCTCCTGAACCTGCACCACCACAAACAGCCACTCTCTCACAAAGTCAGAGGAGACCATCATTGCGTGAAGATAGGGTAGGGGAGGGCTGGAACGGTAACTTTCCTCGCCATGAATTCCTGTCTCGCCAGCTGTGGTCGCTGTCCTTGCTCCTGAGGCTGGGTGGCAGCAGCAGCAGCTGTGACAAGAGACATAACATCATCAACAGTTTTCAAGTCCACTCTGCGCAAAAGGTGGCACACTGGTGGACTCTGAGGAATACTAGTCAAGAAAACCGATACTCCGACTAGCAAAAGACTAATCATCATGGCAAAACATTGGGTGCAACAAATAAACCTAATTTGGACACAGTTCAGTTGTCTCAGAACTAACAAAAGGGACAACCACTATCCTGTTCACCATAGTCAGAATGGTACTGTGTCTTTCTTTCAGGAGGCACGGCCAAGTTTGCCACTCGGTCCATGACTAGCATAAATGAAAAATCAGGCGTGTGCTTGATTCTGACCAAAACATGTTACAGGAATTGATACATGGAGATATCCAGAGTTTAACTGCAGGAATGGGCAACTGCCACCAGCACAACATAAATTGATTCTGACCAGCGCACAGACTTGGTACTTCTACAGTTAACCAGAGACTAGGTTATCAACTAGTAAACGTTAACTGCAAACTCATAATCCATCAGTATTACATGGATTCCGGTTTTATAGTGTTCCACTGAACAGTGACATAGTACGAAGTAGTTGCAACATCAAAGTAGAAGAAGCTTTACATACCTTCCTTCGGCTTCGGATTACGTGCTGAAGCATGCTCTACGGCTTGTGATTTCCTCTCTACCATTCTGCTGTCGACCAGTAGCTGCAGGAACATTTCTCACTTTCCTTTGGCAATAAGCAAATCCAAAAGGGTACAGTACATAAATGAATAATTGCATGGTGTGCATCTTAAATATCACATGCATCATTGCCGATAAATGTTCCGTCCATGGCATTCACTCGAACACTTCACTGATCCAGAATCGGTCAATAAAATCCAACCATCAAGCAAAGGTGGCACTACTCGCCGTAATTACTGTTAATATGTGGTCCTTTTCATGTGTGGTTGGTCCTGAGATACGGATCAGACTGATTTGGTTAGTGTGGATGCTTACATTATGTTATTCTCTTTCCATAGGTTAGAGGTTATTCCTTAGGAGTAAAGTTAGGCCGTCACTACAATATGGGCTAAACTGTATCCTCTTTACTGACGGAAAAATCCTGTTGTGGTCTTGCCCTTCCTCCACCAGTTGGTGCCGTTCTAGTTCAAGTCAATGTCAGGCCACCCTTAGATGGATGTTTACCCCCACTGTGAACTAGGTTCACAACATTTTGGTTAATGCTGCAAACCAATATCACCTATGAAAATTGTACAAGTATCTTTTGTGTGTGTAATGGAACTGATGAATTATTCAGTGCATGACAGTTGACAGCACAATCAAATTTAAGGTCTGGTGCAAGATAGGAATCTCCTTGTCTGATGATGATGTTGACATGGAAGAATTGAACGGTTAAAAGAAAAATAATCCAAAGCTACTTCAGTATCTGCAAACACAGCATGCTAGAACATAAGTTATGTGCAATTGTGCATCCCTGAACCTAACAGGTCATGCTATGAGGTGAACATATTTCTGTGACTATGTATTCAGCCGGAACAATCATATTAAAATCAGGATGGACTCCACTCTGATACCCTTAACCGACTAGGCAGTGACATCTACTCCCTCAGTTTCTAAATATAAGACCTTTTGGAGATTTCGTTAAGAACTATATACGGATGTATATAGACGCATTTTAGAGTGTAGATTCACTCAATTTGCTCCATATGTAGTCTATATTGGAATCTCTAAAAGGGCTTATATTTAGAAACGGAGGGAGTACATCAGACCTCTGGATAGTCTGCCATCTACATCAGAACCTCTCAATAGTCTAATGGTCTGGTCTACGCAGAACTAACCCACAGAGTTCCACTGTCTGCTACGATTATGCACTCTATTCATAATTCACAAGTAGCGGTTAGTTCTGACGAGCAAAGGGCCTAGTCAAGTAGAACCAGGT